AGGTCCCTTTAATTGCCCTCTGGTAACATACACCAGGGAGAGACGCCTGGGATCCAAAAAAACACTGTGTGTTAGTTGAGATCAGCGTCCTCTGACTCGTGATGTGAGTTATTACCAGGTTGATTAGTTGTAATTTGAAATATTTTGAAATATCTTGTATGTGTTTATAACAAAGATAAAATTATTATGTTGCAGATGCTTAAGACTTGTTGTCTAACTTTTATGAAAATGAGAGCTTTGGCACCTCTATGTAAGTAAGCAATAAGATTATTGTATTGTCTCTTGTTTCTAGTGACTGGTGTTATACATATTCTAAAAATTGCATTTTTGTGTACTACAGAATATCTCCTGAAGATTCATTTTTTGAAACGTTGGTAAATAATCCGGAGACGACGTTGTACCTTGGTTTATAGATTCTATTAAGTTGTGTATCATATTGTAATGCTTCAGAGCACAATACATGTACAGCAATTCTTGTAAGTCTTATGACTGTTGATTGTGGGTCAGACTAACACGACTGCTGGCTTTATATTTGTTTATCTATCTTCAATAAAGTAAAACCTTTCTACAAGTCTGTACTTCATTGCCTGCTGTGGGGTCCTGACATTCTGTTCAGAATCCCTTTTTCTCTATCTCTGCGAATCTACCAATCTCGGCATGAGCGACGGAGAGGAGAAACTACCTGGACCCGATGGGAAAGGGGAACCTGAACGGCCGGATGACGGGAGCGTCCCGGTCACCTCGACTCCAGTGGTCACTTCGACCCCGACTTCAGGAGCCGAGGGGGGAGCCATCCCGAAGACCGCCCCGAAACCCTGGCAATTCACTCCGTCTCGACTGGCTCGCCGAGCATGGGACGGTTGGAGTAACTTAGATGCTATGGGCACTCGGGAATCCTTCTCCCACCAGGGAGGAGGGTTGAGGGATCGCCTGTATGACCAAGGACTATTGGCAGGACAGGGGTTACCCCACTTGGGGGCCCAGTTCGAACCGATTGGGAAACCGTGGGTGACAGACCGATCAGAGGCCCGAAGGAGCCGGACCTCTCTGGAAGAGGGGATAGGCAAGCGGGTGGAGGGAATTGTTAGAAGCCTCCAGCAGCTCATGCAAACTCTCGAAGATGTGTTCCAAGCGATCCCGGAATTGGTTGAGAGATCGGTGGAACAAGCGTTGGAACGAAGACCCGCATGGCCAGCAATGCCAGCGGGACCAGCCCTGCCAGCAGGACCAGCCCTGCCAGCGGGACCAGTCCTTCCGCCACCTGCAGGGCCGGGGCAACCCGGGGTCCCAGGACTGCCAGCTCCCCCCCCAGATCTGCAACCGCCGGGGGGACCAGGACCGGATCCCAGGTCAGACAGCCCAAGGGGGAGAGGGATTCCTCGGCTGAAAGATCTCCTCGATGCAACTTTCAATGGCAATCCGGAAGAGTTGGCGTACTTTGTGGTGAGAGTGCAAAAAATTGTAGCACAATCCAGCCACCTCTTCCCAGACGACAGCTGCCAAATCGATGTGGTAGCGGCGCGTCTACGAGGCCCGGCAGTGGCGTGGTACATGAGCCTCCACAACACCAGGGGCCCAGAGCCGAGGGACATGTACACTTTTATGTGGGCCCTGCGTGCGCGATTCGAGGACCTGAACGCTGGCCAGAGAGCCAAAGCGTTCTTGCGCACATTTAAACAGGGGCGTAAAACGGTCCGCGAATACTCAGCCAAATTCAAGCTCCAGGCGACCAAACTACAAAATTGGCCTGAACACGTCCTGGTTGAGATGTACCAGGTGGGGCTGAACCCAGAAATCCAAGAGACGGTGCTACGGTCGGTGGACCCAGTGTCACTAATGGCGTGGATCCAAGAAGCGGAGAGTGCCGAGAATCGACTGCAGACTCTACGCCTGGATATGGCCGCAGGAGGGGTAAAGGCGAGCCCAAACCCCCCTCCGAAGACCAAGCAGTTCATGGAAAGGAATGCAATCTAACGAAGAGATGTGCGCATGAGAGCCTGGGTAGATATGCGCATGGGAGGCTGAAGACATTCGCCTCGGGGGGGGGGGGGGTGAAAGGAGGCCCAGGTGACAGCCACTGCCAAGTCAGCTTTTTACCATCTTCGGCTGGTGCGGCAGTTGGTTCCCTTCCTCGACCGCAGTGACTTGGCCACAGTGATCCACGCGATGGGTCACCTCGAGGCTAGACTACTGCAACGCTCTCTACATGGGGCTGCCTCTGTCGCAAATCTGGAAGCTGCAGCTGGTGCAGAATGCTGCGGCCAGGCAGCTGATGGGTCTTCCCGGTAGGGACCACATCTGGCCTGTGCTGAAAGCGCTGCACTGGCTGCCGATAGTGTACCAGATTCACTTCAAAGTGCTGGTTCTTACCTTTAAAGCCCTAAATGGCCGGGGTCCAGCATACCTAAGGGACCGCCTTTCCCCATATGTTCCCCCGCAAGCACTACAGTCTGGGACGCAACACCTCCTGGCTGTGCCAGGTCCCAAGGAGGCCAGGCTGGCCGCTACCAGGGCCAGAGCTTTTTCGGTGGAGGCTCCTACCTAGTAGAACGAGCTCCCGGAGGAGATCCGGGCCCTGCGGGACCTCGCACAGTTCCGCAGGGCCTGCAAGACGGAGCTCTTCCGCCAGGCATTTGAGTAGGAGCTGCCACTACTGTACCATCATCATCTGGCCCTGGAAGAAAGATTGATAGTGCTAATCGGAACAGATGGCACTGAGTGGATATAACAGCATTAATAAGCCATCTTTATGGTAACTTAATTTGAACATCGAGAGCACTTAATAATGTTAAAATATGTTGATCAACTTTAAATGTTTTTAATTATGTTTTATGTGAGGCTTATGCCTGATTGTGAGCCGCCCTGAGCCGGCGCTGCGGGGAGGGCGGGCTATAAACCGAATTTATAAATAAAATAAAATAAAGTACTAGTAGAAGTAGTTCCGGCAGCCATTTTGTTTTTTGCTTGTGACGCGTGTGAAATATCTTTCAACGAGGTTCCCGTGCTCAAAACGTTTTTCAGAAGCTTTGAGGATGCTGAATTGCTTTTCAATCCGCTTCCTCCCTTTTTGCCCATAACCTGGGCAAGATTTAAAGGTGGGCTCTGTACAAGACAAATGCGGAGTTGGAGTTTTCGGGCAAGGAGCTCAGTCTCTATGCGTCTGCCTTCATTCAGACCGATGCCACGCCCCCCCTTCACAAAAACCTTTTCACTGACAGCTCCCACCCCACCCCCAGTGCCAGCAGGCAATATTTTGGAACAATCAGATTGCATCAACTTACTTGGTTTCTTTTGCCAAAACGTCACTATTTCTTTGTGCAGCAATTTGGCTTTCTTTCTGGCCAAAACACCAGACGACTGAAAGACAGTGCACAGAGGCAGTTCAGAGAAGAGCAGTAGAATAGAAATAATGCACTAACTAAGCCGAGGTCAACAGTGGCTTACTTCAGTAAGGCTTTAATGTTTGCCCCCAAACAGTCAACCGGGACACACAGCAAGGCTGAACATGGCCCTTGTTCCAGTTTGGGAGGATGATAACTTTCCCTCCCATACGCAGAAGATGAGAGTCAGGAAAAAGCCCACTAACAATCCTTGGCAGAGAGGGGGGGGGAAGGGAAGGAGAGAAGGAGGAGATTGGATTTATACCCTGTGTAATGATTCCTTGTTTTGATGTGCGTGTGTTCCTTTAAATGTTAGTTTGACTCCCAACTTGGAAGGATATAACTTTCCCTCCCATACGCAGAAGATGAGAGTCAGGAAAAAGCCCACTAACAGTCCTTGGCAGAGAGAGAAAGAAAAAAGGGAAGGAGGGGAGGAGATTGGATTTATATCCCATGTAATGATTCCTTGTTTTGATGTGTTGTGTGTTCCTTTAAATGTTAGCTTGACTGCAGTAATGCAAGGAGGGTGATAGGGGAAGATGCGTGTGCTGTGATTGGCTGATGACTGAGAGTGTGAGAAGAGTTGTTCTGAGAGGAATTTCTGTGTATGTGTGTCTTGAAGTCAGATATAGAGTCAGTTATTCAGTTAGTGAGTCAGTCAGTGAGTGATATGACAGAGTTCTGTGTGGAAACTTAAAGAGTTCAGTGTATGTGTCTCTGAAAAGTGAAGTGTGGAAGAGCTATGAAAAGGGTCTGTGTGACTCTAAGGATTTGAGAGAGTCGATAAGACAAAGAGCTTAGCCGGTGTGGAATTTTAGTGTCAGAAAGACTGTGTGTTATACCTTGCCAGTTATATTTACAAGTTCCAGTTTTCCAAACCAGTTAAAGATAACCAGCAACCTATTTTGTTCTTATTTCAATAAATCCATTTTTGTTTAAATATCCCAGAATTCAGTACAGTATTTCCTCAGACCACATAGACCTCTGAAGTGCCCAGACCCTGGGTTACACTACCAAAGGAGAGAGTTGGAATTTTAAATCCCTGGTGGCAGCAGAAACTACCCAGTTTAAATACAAGGAGTATGATTTAAAGTAAAAACAGTTCTCCCCATAAGCAGCGTGTCACAGCGTGGTTTTAAAGAAGAAACAGTCTCCCCAGATAATAGAGAACCCCACACCCCGCCCTTAACTTGGGTCTCAGAGTGGCTTACAAACCCCTTTCCCTTTCCCTCCCCACAACAGAAACCCCTGTGAGGTAGGTGGGGCTGAGAGAGCTCTGACAGAAACTGTTCTTTTTTCAAAACAGCTCTTGTCAGAACTATGGTTTGCCCAAGGTCACCCAGCAGCTGAATGTGGAGGAGTGGGGAATCAAACCCAGTTTTCCCAGATTAGCGCCCGCGCACTTAACCACTACACCAAACTGGCTCGCATGCATCGGGTACACCTCCACCCAAATGTAACCGAAGCCTCTCTCACTCCAGCCCGGCTGTGTCTGGCAGCCAAATGCTTTATGGTTTGAGTGGTACCGTTTGGTGAGTAAACACCCAGAAGTCCAGAGTCCAGCTGTAAATGGCATAATGCAGAGAGCCAGTGGGGTGTAGTTGTTAAGAGTGTTGGACTGGGATCTGGGAGACCCAGGTTCGAATCCCTACTCAGCCAAAGAAGCTTGCTGGGTGACCTTGGGCCACTCAAACAGTCTCAGCCTAACCTTCCTCGCAGGGTTATTATCAGGATGAAATGGAGGAGAGGAGAACGATGGAAGCTGCTCTGGGTCTCCCCACTGGAGGAAAGGGTCAGGTATAAATGAAGTCAATAAATAAATAAAACAAAAAGGGACGAAGAAATACTACTAGTTCCTAAAAAATATTTCAGTCAGTCGCTTTCACAGTTCGGGATGCTGATGTCCCAATGATTTCAATGAGCTTAAGAGTGACTAAAAGACCTTTGTATTTTACATGCAACAGGAAATATACCTATATTTAAGGAGCACTGACATGCACTTAGCTCTTGGGGAATGCTAAAATTAACATGTTAAACTGCATCCAGGGCCTTAATTCCTTGTTTTTTTTGTGTGTGTCTCTTTAAAAGTTTGGTTGCATGGCTGTGGTAAGTAGACTAGAGTGGTTGAGAGAGGCAAGTGTGGTGTGATTGGTGATTGAGAGAGGGGGAGGGGTTTTGGAAGTGATTCTGAGTGGATGAATATATGTGTCAGTCAGGAGGTTCAGTTACAGGTTTGACAGTTGATGAGTTAGTTCTGTGTTGAAGCAGTTATAAGGACAGCTGAGATTGTTCAGTGAGAAAGGAAAAGAGATCTGAAAGCTGATTGTCTAGGGAAAAGATTAAGTGAAGAAAAGATAGGAAGGTCTGTGTGTCATACCAGACTGGAGTGAAACAGTGAACATATATGGCATTTAGATAAACAAGTGTTACAAAGTTACATGAAAAGATCCCTGTCAGTGAGAGAGAAGAGTGTGTGTGATACCAAAGAAATTGTTCATCATTTACACATTTCTAGTTACACTGTACCACCCACTTATTTAGTATTTATTTCAATAAATCCTTTTTCATTCAAGTATACCAGCTCTGAAGGAAATACTTCTCAGACCACATAGTTCCTCGTAAGCCTTGAACTTGGTCTACCAATTTAGTAAGAGCAACAGTAAAAGCATAAAGGTTTGGAAATCCTTAAAATTTCCTGGTGGCACCCTAATCTACCCAGTTGAACAGAATAAAAAGAACTTCTAAAGTGAAACTGGTCCTCCCCAATAAGGAGGGCGTCACACCTTCCCTTATACTTAAATAGCCCAAGTAAAGGAGCATATTATTGAGCTGAGCTATAAATATTCTAAAGTATTTCAGTGAAAATAATTTCCAAGTAAAGTATGGTATATTTGAACAATTAAACAATGCTAAATGCACCAGATGAAATATTTTTCCTGCTATTTCAGTTGAACTACTTTTGGCTGTTGAAAAACGTTTGAGTTGTTTATACAGCATGCCCAATTAATATAGAGTGCTGTTTTGTTTACTAGTCAAGTATACACAGGAATCTCAATTGATTTGGAAAACTGGGAATTGTTTTGGAAACTCACATCAGTAGTTTCCATATGATAATGCTGAGACCTACATAGATTGTTTAACCCCAGATAACAACACCTTTGTTCAGTGCAAAGCTGGGGAGCTCATTTTTCAACTTATTTTTCTACGCTCTGAACTACATAAAAAAGGCAAGAAACCAAAACAAGCTATACAGGTCACAGCTCTCACGCAGGATAGATCTCTAATTATTTTGACTTTAAGAAAAACAAGGTGTTCACACTGTTCATGTCTGTAAATATACCAAATAATTCAATTTTAAGCATTATGTTCAACAAGGCATACTTTACATTCTTCAAGGACCAAAGTAAATTTATGCTTGACCATAAAACACATATTGCATATATTTCAAATTTTCCCCAAATTGATTCCTGGGAAAGGTTTTTTAAAAAAAAAACAACAACAGAAGTTATGCATCCAAAATTTCCAGAAATAATAAATGACTTCCATCAAAAACTCACATGATCCAAACAATGAACAATTGCCCGCTTTTTGCTTCTGTTGACATCAATATAGTGGATTTTAACAAACTTCTTGAAGTGATTCTCAAGAACACGTCTGTCATTTAGATAATCGGGAATGTTTTTGCACAGGAAGGATTTTAGTTCACTCGGTGGCAAGCCCCCGAAGCTTTTTGTGCTCTTGGTGTTCCAATTTCGACGTGAGGGATTTGAGACAGAAGACTCTGAAGGAGGAAAAAAAGTACCTTTTCAAAATATCATATAAGAACATAAGAACATAAGAGATGCCAATGTTGGATCAGGCCAGAGGCCCATCCAGTCCAACACTCTGTATCACACAGTGGCCAGAAATACCAGTGCCATCAGGAGGTCCACCAGTGGGGCCAGGACATCAGAAGCCCTCCCACCGTTGACCCCCCCCCCAAGCACCAAGATGACAGAGCATCACTTGCCCCAGAGTCCCCATCTATACCCTGTGGCTAATAGCCACTGATGGACCTCTGCTCCATATGCTTATCTAATTCCCTTTTGAAGCCGTCCATGCTTCCTGTGGCAGTGAATTCCAAGTGTTAATCACTCTTTGGGTGAATAAGTACTATGGAGGAAAAAATAAACATCCGCATTTGAATGCCTGTATTTCATATGTCTGCGCCAGTGTTCCCTCTAAGCTGAGTTAGTGTGAGCTAGCTCACAGTTTTTTAGCCTCCGGCTCACACGTTTTTGTCTTAGATCACGAAGGATGGCTCCGGAGCAAACTAACTTATGCAGTAGCCAAATCACATGCTCACAACTTTAATGCCAGGAGCTCACCAAGCAGAATTTTTGCCCACAAGACTCCACAGCTTAGAGGGAGCATTAGTCTACACATTGATAAATGATGGACAATCATAGCAAAATAATCACAAGAACTTTGTTTTGGTCTTCCATTTTACTAGTTCATGCTTTGTTACTTACTTTTCTCCTGCTTTGCCTTATTCTCTTCCTCTTTCTGTAACACGGATGGCCTGGCCAATGCCAAACCAGACTGGAAAGAAAAACTACCAAAGCTGCTACTAGGATTTGCAAAGGGATTTATAGGTCCTTTTTTATCATCCTCGACAGTTTTGCTTGGTAAAGTAGCAGGGAAGGAAGATGACAGAGTAGTAATGCTGCTTACTGGTTTTGAAAAGCTGAAATGCGTACTAGCACTTGAGCTGCTGGTTTCCTGGGAAATGCCAAAGGGGGCAAGTCTTCCAGACCCGCTCTCACCTGAAAAGGAAAACGTGAATGGATTTGGGATGGTTTGGCTTTGGGTCTTCTCTGGTTCTGAACCAATGCCAAAAATCGGCTTGAACATTGCATTCTTAGGAATTTTGAAGCTAAAATCTGGTCCTGTGAAGACACTGCCTGAATTTTTTCCAGATGTACTTCCAAATGCTGAAGAAGCCTGAGAAGCCCCAAGATTTGTAGGTAGTTTAAAACTGAATCCTTGTTTGCCAGCAATGGACGAGCTGGTTGGCGTGGAAGTAGCCACGAACGATGTAGCGTGCCCGAAAGGATAGGACTGTGTAAATCCCAGAGGCTGCCCAAATCCCAAAGACTGATCCGACGAACCGTGTAGTTCTGAAGTCCTTGTGAAGTCAGATGCGGGTGTGAAGCCTGGATTCTTTACCCCTCCTCCACTGTTTGA